CCGATCCAGGTGGTGGCCCCGATACTCTTCAGGTCATCCTTTGGCTCGGGGATCATTCCAGGGAGAAGCGGCATCTCAGGTAATGATCCGCCGTGAGCCGGGGCGCATCTGATTCATGTCAGGGAGCAGAATTCAGAAGTTCTCACCAACGAGGAAGCAGACAAATAAACCAACTGTACAAGCTAGAAAATGGTCGGCTAAAACGTTGAACATAAAAAGGCAATGTGGACTCTAAAATAAGCTTTCTAAGTGTTTTGGCTGTTGGTCCATCTGCTAGTCCATCCATCCATCCATTTGTTCCGCACATGTGGGCACCTACCCTGTTCTCCATCTCTGCCCAGGTTCCCGGGGGACCAGATGACTAAAATGCAGCCCCTGCCTTTGAGAAACATAGAGGGACACAAGTAGTAACGATGCATCAAGATGGCTGATGCCACATCTTGGTTTTTGTGACTAAAGTTTCAATAAACATGGATTGTGTATATATTTTTGGGACCCTGATTTTTTTATTATTATTACAAAGATGTGGGGTACAATTCAGGGTTAGGTATACAAACGTTGATTATGCAGGTACCCTTATTGATGAGGTGTGCTCCTCCCTCCCCTAGCAGTTTCCCCTAACTGCCAATCCCATCCCCCCACCCCTGACAGTTTCCCACTACTGCCAATCCCTTTCTTATAGTATAATAATAATTGTTCGAGATCCACTTATGAATGAGAACATATGGTACTCTGTTCTTTGTTTCTGTAATAGATCACTGAGTATGATCGACTCTAAATCCATCCAAGTTGCTGTGAAGTCCATATGTTTGGGACGCTGACTTCCATTTTTCTAGACATATACCCAGAAGTAGATTTGCCAAATCATATAATAGTTCTATTTTTCCTTTTTTGAGAAACCCCATACTGTTTTTCATAAAGGTTGCATCATTTTACATTCTTTTTTCTTTTAGATTAGAAAATATAGTTTATTTAGAAAGTAAATTAGAGAAAGAGAGGAAAAGGTGGCTTCCCAAGGTAGGAGAGGGGGCCAAATCTTAAGAAAACATGGCCCATATTACATTCTTAACAGCAGTGGACAAGAGTTCCAATTTCTTCACAGCTTACATGTCTGTCAACAAGTAAATGAATACAGAAAATGTGCTCTATACATGCAATGGAATATTATCCAGCCTTCATAAAGAAGGAAATTTTACCATTTGTGACAACGTGGGTGAACCCTGAAGACGTTAAGTGAAATATGTCAGTTGCACAATGACAAGTGTTGGATGAGTCCACTTATCTTAGGCATCTAAAATGGTCAAAGCATAAATGCCAAATATAGAATGGCGGCTGCCAGGAAAATGCAGACACATTGGTCAATGAGTGTAAAGTTACACTTAAGTAAGGTGAATGAGCTCTAGACATCTGCTGTACAGCCTATTGCCTGTAGCTAATGATACAATATTGTAAAGCTACAATTTGATCAGATGATAGATCTCATGTCATGTGCTCTTACCATCATAATAAATAAGCAAAAACAAAATAAAAGCAGAGCGGTACAAGGAAACTTTTTGATACGATGATATTCCTTGACTTCGGTGATGGCCTCACAAGTGTCTGGACACACCCAAACTCATCAAACTCTACACATTAATATGTGCAGTTTTTGTGTATTAATTGGACCACACCAAAGCTTAAAAAAAAAAAAAAACTGAGAGGTTAGAGAAAGAAGAGATGGAATTATTACAAGCTCTCATCATATCAAGACACATGATTAAATATTTGATTCTTGATATTTAGAACTATAGGACATATGTTCAGTCATATATTCTGTACTTTCCAAATTTTCCCACAATGAGAAAATTTACAACAGGAAAATAAACAATAACTACAAATTTGAAGGAATTAGAAACAAACCCCAAAAATTGCTCTCACACTTTTTTACATTGTGTAGTATTTATCAAGTGCTAACAACCTGCTAGAATTTTGCACATTCTGAACTTCTCTGTTTTGCTACCACTTAACCAAAGACTGCATGAATCTATCTGAAATAATTTGGGGTGGGGGAGGAATGGCACAGAGAATGTGGGAGTCCCGGGGATGGGGTGTCTGACTTGGCCCGAGAGAATAGTGGAAGACAAGATTACCCAGGGGAGAAGAAAGCAAAGGGGATTCCAGGGAGGAGGAACAGCAGGGGCAGAGGCCCAGAGGAAAGCTATAACCTGAAAGCAGACAAATGGAAAAGGCAGTGTTTAAAAGGGAATCCGAAGCAGAGGTGACTCACGAAAAAGGGGCTGGGTCAAACTGCAAGAAACTCTGAGGAGGAGGCTGAAAGACATCAGACTCAATCCCGAGGACCATAGGGAGCCCTCAAAGGATGTGGAGGAGGAGAGTGGCCACCTCAGATTTGTGATTTACAGAGTTCTCCAGAGCAGTGGTAAATGCAATGGATGAAGTGTTGTTTTGTTTTGTTTGAGTCTGAGTCTCTGTCTCCCAGGCTGGAGTGCAGTGGCAGGCTCACGGCCACCCCAGCGTCAACCCGTGGGCTCCAGCAATCCTTCCGCCTCAGCCTTCCATGTAGCCGGAACTACAGATGCGCGCTTCCACGCCTGGCTAGTTTTTGCTTTATTGTAGAGACGATGTCTCGCCAAGTTGCCCGGGCTGGTCTCGAACCCGCGGGCTCAGGCAATCCACTCGCCTC